TTAATTCAACTTTTGATCGTGCTGGTCACAATGTTCTCGACTTGGTAGTTTTGTTAACTGTAATCTAATATCTATTATCTATTTTTCTATTATATTTTGATTGAAAAAACTTTGAAATTTGAATTTAAATGACATTTAGATTTAAACATTCAATATTCGTCTTCTGCAGTTCCGTTGATCGTACCTACTTTGAATTTTAATAATAATACTTATTGAAACGAACGGAACAACATGAACTATGTAAAAGTAAGATATTGTATCTATCTACGTTTGTAGATTACGTTTGTCTATCTACTGTATTATAGATATTTAAAATTTTATATATTTAGGGACGATTGTGTGATGGATGTCAAACTTTTGTTTTACTAAATAGCTCACACAAATGTCGCAGTTCTTTACTCGATCAGTTTGAAATAGAAAGTTCCCCGTATAATTCGTCAGAAGATACACCTACACCAAGTATGCTTAATATAATAGTAACTAGTTGGTTAAAATTAATTGATATGATCAACACAAATTAAACTGGTATGTCAGCAATGAGCAAGGGTACAAGTTTTGGATCAATCCGTCTACCCCTAATTTATCCCATGTACTACTTGACCACTCTTTTGTATGCACTGGCCATGTGCATTTATATTTCCAAAGGTAATGTGTATCATTACGTTGTTGACACACCTGTTTAACTTGTTAAGGAAACAATATTGATATAAATTAACATAAACATTTACAATATTTATGTATTTTAAAGTAGAATTAAACAAGTATAAATTGATCAAGTCCAAGAATGATGAACCAACCTTATTGTTAAGCAACAATTTACCAACAGTTAATAAGAAATTACAAAATAATACAGTTTCTTTAGCAATGAGTAGTATATAATAATACAATAGTATGAACTATGAGTTACTATACAAACAATATGTCTAGGTGATTTTAATGATATGTCGGCTTCAAATGTTAACTGTACAAAGTCAGAAGATGGTGTTGCTAAACAAGATATGTCAAAACTTATTGAAATAATTGAAACATGTGCACCTCTATGGAACTTTAAATTATCCCTCGGTGAAAGATCTGATGCTATCAAGGCTAACTTATGGAATAGTGTATATGTACAGTTTAACGGTAAACATGAAAGCTGATATTATACTTAAGATAATTTATAAAAACCAATTATTATTTTAATAGGAAAATATTCAATTTCTGCATTGCAAAAAAGTTGGAAGTACTTAAAAGAAAAGTATACCAGAGAGAAAAAAATTCCACCTTCTGGCAGTGCGGCTAGTAAAAAAGAATGGCCTCATTTACGCAGTTTACAGTTTTTAGATGAAGTAGTATTATGTAAAAAACGGTAAATGTTAATTAAAAAACCTTTATGATTATTTTGTTTAAATTGCTTATAATATATTTCATAGCACTACGGATAGTATTCCTAGTACTTGCGAAAAGTTTGATACAGATGAACCACCAAAACGGAAAAAAAGTATACAGTATGTGTTATAAAAATTATTATCTATATTAATTGCATTTATTTTATAAATTAGAATTATTAATGGAAGATCACATGTCAATGATAATTGACGAGTTAAAAAATAGCAGGCCAATTCCTCCAACTCCCCCAAAACCTGAAGAAATAAATGAAGATAGAGATTTTTGTTCATATTTGACAAGACTTATGGTAGGTCTACCAAGAAATGCTAAACTCAGATTACAACACACATTCATTAACATGGTATTTGAACAAATTGAATAGAAAAAATTTAAAATGCCTACCAAAAAAAAACTTATGTGATTTAATTTTGTTTTACTATGATTTAAATTTAGTTTAAGGGAGTTCCTTATTTATTTTGGTTTTTATATCTAAAGTTGAAACTGTTTTATTTAATTTAAAATACCTACCTAAAAGTAATTGTGATTTTATTTTGTATTTTTGTTTTCCTATGATATTAATTAAAGGAAGTTCCTAATTATATTTTATTTGTTATACCTAAAGTAGTAAAGTTGAAAATGTTTTATTTTATTGTTAGACAACATTATAATCATTATACCAATTATTAACAAGACATTTTCATACAAATAAGACTCGGACAGTAGACTCTCTGCTTAAATCTTATTACAATTTACATTATAAACATAATAATATTTTTAAATCAGTAATATCAATAATAATATTATACATAGTTGTATTGAAACGGTACGGCTCCTTCGTTGGAAAAATACACAGTTAATTTATTTCTAATATCTTTTGCATTTTTATCATGAAAATTGGAACTCATTTGTGAAACAGGCATTAAACCTGGAACTTGACTTCTTCTTTGGTGACTAATAACTTGACTGTTATGAGATAATAATCCTGGAATTAAATGTAAGTTAATAAATAAATACTCACATATATAAATATTATATGTATAATTAAAGTACCATAGTCTGTCTCCTTATTTTTTATAAAGTTATGAAGTACTACTGTAGCTTTAATTATGGCATTAACAGTCTCTTCGCTAGCAATTATAGCTTGTCTATATATTCTCCACCTTGATGCTAATATCCCAAAACAATTTTCAATACATCTTCTAGCTCTGCTGAGTCTAAAAGGCATTAATATATCAGAAGTACTCATATGGGGTATTTATTGTAGTACAGCATTTTACCTGTAATTAAATATTTTTATGTTAATTGGTAATTTCAGTTTTCCACGACCAGGGTATGGTCTCATCATTGATGTAAGTAGGGGGAATGCTTCATCAGCAACTATAAAGTAAGGTATAATTCCTGAACTCTCACTTATAGGAGAAGGTTCAGGAAATCCTAAACCATTGTTTAAAATTTGTTTGCCTAATTCGCAGGATTTTAAAACACCACCATCACTGCACCTTCCAGGCATGCCGATATTAACATAAGTAAAATTATAGTTGGCATCACATAATGCCAAAAGTATGGTGCTATGGCTTCCTTTATAATTATAATTGGTTGAGCCACTATTAGGAAATGCCTATAAAATAAAAGCATTATTATAAAGGTGTAATTTAATTTTTAATAGAATAAGTTTCACTTAAACTTAAGTAAACCTACTTGATGTATAACATGTTTGCCATCTAGAGCACCGACACAATGAGGCATTTGCCATTTGCTTTCAAACTCTTTTGAAATTTTCATCCATCCATTTGTGTTTTGTTCAATTAACACCTAATTCAAAAGTAAAGTTTGTACTTTAATAAAAACTCATAAATAGAGTTTTAAAAAATCTTTATTCTTTTAAATAAATAAATTATTACTTTGTCTTTTAATATGTCCCATATAGCAATACAACATTCTACAATTATTTTAGATACTGTCGATTTACCCATTCGAAAAGCATAGGTAATATCTGTCATACTTTCACCTGTAGCTAAATATCTATAAAAAGAATAATGTAAAATGTTCAATTTTTATTTCTAATGATGATTGAAAATTTTAAACAAAGTTCCACATAAGTAAGTTATTCTATTTATTCAAAAAATAAAAATGTTTGTTTATGCATAGATATTATTATGTATTAACTGACATTTGATTTTATTATTATTATAACTAATATAACTTGTTAATAATATTATATACCTTAACGTAGCCCCTAAAATTTCACCAACAGAAAAAACGTAGTGCCTAAAACTTTCACGCACCAATCTTGGACCGACCAATTGGGCAAGTTCTTCAAAAGTTGTGGGAGACATCCGTGTAAAATTAAAATACAACAAAGAGTGAACTAGACGTCGTTCTTTTATTAATGTGTTGTAATGACTATAGATGCAACGTTCTTTAAAAACGGGTCTCACGTGCCATCTTCTAGGACTAAACAAAATAATTACAAGTGGAGATAATTATTTCCAGACTTCCAGTATTGATCTCACTAATGATATTACCCCATAAGTTAGATATTAAGAGATATAAGTTATTTTATATTTCAAAAAATTACAAGAAGGACCTCGGTAATCGTGGGGCAGGCCAGACCGACACTGATTATTAAGGTTTTTTTTTTAATATGAAATGTAAAACTAAATTATATAATATTACCTAGACGAACAAAGTTTATAAGAATCAATAAGATACATATATGAAACTATAAGGATTTTTCGCCTGTGAACTTCAATATTATATTCATACACAATGCGTTTATATTCTTCTTCATTGTAGTTTCGTTTCATTTTAAAATGTATTCAAAATAAGAAAAAAAACTCACAAATTAGATATTACAGACTAAATATGAAAAATACATCTATTACTACTCAGCCACTGCACACAATACTGACAGTTATCAACAAAGAACAACTGATTAATGACATAATGATTAGATTATTAATTATGTTAATAGTGATTTTTAAATGATTATAAATATTAGTACCCTTTAGTACCCTTCTTTTAAATTGTATAATATTGTATATGTATTAAATACGAAGTTGAATATTTTAAAAATACCCGCGACAATTTGATAACCGTGGTACCGATACCACGGTAGAATTTATGGTTACCATATTGGTATCGTCCTGATTCGGAACGACTCCGAAGAACGAATTGAATTCACAATTCACACGACACGACACGACACGGGCAGTTGTGAACCCGCCTTAATAATATATTATAATAATAATATAGTTTGGTATA